GATGGAGATGAGACGACCGAGGAGTGAGAGGTTGTGTTTGTCATCCAACCGCAAAAACTGGCTCGAAGAGCTCACCAACTGGACGAGCGTTATGAGGTTGTGGCAGAGGACGGCCTGTGATGCAGGCAAACGGGTGAAACAGCAGAGTTAGGTGAAGCAAGAGGCACGCGGGAAAATGGACAGTGGGCTAGCTGGTGCAAAACAACCTACCGGGTAGAGGGAGGCAACCTCGACGAGACAAAGAACGCCCTGAAGTTGGATGGCCGAGGACTGCTTGTAGACAGTGAGAGAGTGGAATATGGTATCCACGCTAGCTGCTACTGAGGCGGATGGTGAGAGTGGATGTTCTCGTTCACCACAGCTCCTACTCGTGGGGGCGGGTGCTACGGTGCGATGATGACGGTTGACTTCTGCAAAGAGCTTCGTCAGACATGCCAACGCCTCCAGCACACAGGCTGAGTTCTGGCTTCGAACAGTATTGACATTATCCGATAAGTTGGTATTAGTTTTGGGTGAGGGCAAGGGCTTTTTCGAGAAGCTCTTGTCACAACTGGTATTAGCATCAGTACCCATTTCTTCATCGGAGAGGAGCAGGATTGGGGAATTTGGTCGAGTAGGACACTCCTCTTCTTCATCGTTGTCTGATGAAAATGACTCATTGTCGGCTTCTCCAGAGGGTTGGTTGGAGAATCTGGTCTCGGATGACAGGCAACTGCAGAGCAGAAGAGGGTGAAAAAGGGGATAGTACGTGCATTTGCAAAAAGAAAAAAAAAACAGTCACTGTAACTTACGCAAAGATGTGGCTGTTTATAGGGAACACTAGATCATGATTGCAGTCTGAAGGCGTTACTCTGGAAGCGGGTGTCTTTCGGAGGCTGGCACCACCCAATACTGATTTGCGCTTAGATGTACTACGAAGGCGGGAGACGGCTGAAGACAATGGAGTTCGATTAGTCTCCAAAGCGGGTTTAACAGGAGAACTGAGTGGGGTTGCTGTTACTGACGCCAATGGGGCCTGTGGAGTAGTTTCGGCCTGCAATCGGGGCACATCATTATTTATAGTTGCAAAGATTGTCTGCAGGGCCTTTAATCGTGAATATTCCAGCTTGGAAGAGTCCAGAGACTCAGGTTGAGTGTTGGTGCGTTTCCTTTTGTTCTTTCTGTAATGAAGCAATCAGCAATTGATGAGTGCACAGGTAGGGAGATAAAAAAAATCTATGCGACAACTATCGTAAAAGGTATATTGGTCATTTATACAAGGGCGCTTTTTGGTAAATAAAAATGTCTTGGCAGACCTTTCGTCGGTGTCCGAAACAACTAGAAAGTAAGTTGTTTTCTTTCAAGTACTTGAAAGTGAATAGGGTGCGAGTGAAAACCATACCAACAAAATACACCGAGAACAACCTGGGTATCAGAAACCCAACTGGTTTTCGAGATTGAAAACAAATGAAGACTTCGGAGTCATTATAAAATCAAACACCTGTAATTTGGGCACGTTTGATAGGCTGCTTAACCATTATAATCACTTGTAGGACAATGCTAGTCAGGATATTGTAGCTGGTATAGGGTTAATTTGTAGGAAAAATCTGTAACTCACCGAGCAGAGGCTACACGGGCAAACAAAGACTTTGAAGAATCGCGCAGGCGTACAGCATCCAGCTTCGCCAGGCAGTAAGCAAAGTGTTCCGTCTTCATCGTTAACTAAAGAAAAGGATGAAGTGCTCACATGGGTGCAATCTGATAGAACTTAAGAGCACGTGAAATTGGCGGATGCCGCACTACCCTGATTGTGTGGCGGAAACCTGCGGCTCAGGTCTACCACCCAAAAAGGTGGTACCATAGCGATTGTTAATTGGTAATGGAGGAATGTTGATAGAAGCGAATAGAGGAGTTCACGGAAGCAGTTCAGAAGGAGAATATGCGATCGCTAAGACAAGAATTTTGTTGGCCTGGCGTTCCGGCTTCTCGTTTGAACCCATCATCAGACAACCACAGCGAAAATCCGAAACGTCAGACCAATAAACTTTTTGGTCCAGCTATCGCATCCTTTCCTTCGAGACAAAGCAATGTATGTGGTAGTCTCCTTTGCATTCGACACCACTGACATTTTTACAACAGAATTTGAGATAGAATCAAACCAGGTAGCAAACTCGATGGTGCGAGTAGCTTAGGTCTATATAGTAATCTCTATAAAACTACGATAAAACTATTGAATAGACTACAAACATGGCAAAAATTTGATCAAAAAGCTGCAACCCCACGAACC